CAGTGGCGATGAGGATGCCTACAAACAGCTTCTTAAGGATCTCATTGTTCAGGTTGATGATACACTGTGTAGTTGTTATCTCATTCTTTTGTCGTCTGACTAATCTAAAAAGCTTCTTCTTTTTCTCTTGAATTCTTGCAGTGTTTGCTTAGGTTAAAAGAGCCTTCTGTGTTGCTGCGTTGCCGTGAAGAGGACTTGGGTTTAGTTGAATCTATTCTTGAGGATGCAAAGGAGGAGTATGCTGGTAAAGCAAATGTTCATGCTCCAGAGGTTGCCGTGGACACAACCATATTCCTTCCCCCTCCTCCTACTTCTAGTGATCCTCACGCTCTCCACTGGTATAATCCATTATTTTCTCATCATCCTTAAAGTTACCTTTTAGCCTGTAGTAGTTACTTTTGGATTTCAAAGTAAGAAAGGACTATATGGTGCCTACATCTGGCGTGGTATAAGCTAATATGTAATGTTGAACTTGTTATAGCTCTGGAGGTGTTGTGTTAGCTTCTCGTGATGGGAAAATCGTGTGTGAGAACACACTCGATGCGCGTCTTGATGTGGCATTCCGTATGAAGCTCCCAGTGGTATGAATAGCAAATTCAATACTTCCATAGAATTTTTTTTTTTTTTTGTTGGGTTTCTGTGATCTATAAGTCAAAAGTTAGAGTTTTTGGTTTTATGATGGCTCTCTGATTCAAATCATTTCTTTACACAGATCCGTAGGTCGTTGTTCGGCCAAGTTGCTGCCTAATGAATGAAAAGAGAGAAAAGTTGTGATTCAGACCGGTTTGTGTTTGTTTTTTCCCATTTGGGAAAGATTTATCTTTGTTGTGATTCTTTGTATTCTGCCAAAAACTTTTACTTTGATGCCATAAAATCTCATCGAACTCTTCGTTTCCGCATGTATTTTTTCCCAAGTGTGGCTATACAAAATAATAATGAAATGAAAAGACTTTTTCTCGGTTTTTTATTTCGTGTAAAGATCTATGCTTATATTTGTTCTCAGTTGTAAGAAGTTGCAAAGAGTTGTTCTCTGTTATTTAATCTCAGTTGAGCAATATTACAATACTCCTTGGATCTCCAATTATAAATGCATTGTTTTAACTAGGCATGGGTTTTCGCATCGGTTTAATCGTTGGGATCTTTGAGACAGAGAAGCTATAGATCAATTTAGGACCTTTAGATGTTCCGGTTCAGTTTTAGGTATGTTTCTATCTGTTTCGAGTTGGCTCGAGTATCACTTTTCACAACCGTTTTAACACTTTGATTCAGACTGGTTAGTGTTTTTTTTTTCCATTTGAGAAAAAAAATTTGTTGTAAAAGTAATCAATGTATAACATAGGATTCCTTATATATGAGAAATTACAAGGGAGATAAATAAAAAGTACAAAGCCAATACAAATATAAAAAATGCCAAGTCTAAATTATCATATAGACTACACCAATTGGGCCTAGAAAATATGGTTATGGCTCATTCACTAATTGGTTCATAACACTTCCCCTTAGATGTCATAACCATATAGAGCTTGTAATACGCTTTGGATGTTGCCTCATTAAAACATTTCCAGGAAAAGCCCAAAAACCTAATAGGACAAAATCCGGGTAAAACCATGGATAAGGAAAAAGAGAACAACACATATTACTCCCCACGATTTGAGCATCACTGAAATTCTTTCAATCTTAAGTCTTTCAGCTTGAATGAATTTTACCTACTTGTACTTCTCGCTCTAACTTGGGGTGATGAATACTTGTTGTCGTCGTCCACTCCATACTTCTCTCCCCATTCGATATATTCTCCTTTCTCTCTCTTCCCTAATTTATCTCTCTCCCAACCGAACTCCTCCCAACCCTGATGTCCACCTCATCTTCTACGACCACTGGTTGGAGACGAGTATGAACTCTGGGAATACCTAGTAAGTGTTGGTGCGGGGTGAGCACCACCGAGCTCATCTCTAGAAGCAATCAAAACCCATATTGCCGATATTATCGGTGTCTCTATGCGGCTTCACAAAGGGTACATCCGTTTAGCTTTAGGTTTGAAGGCTTACTCATTCTTCTTTTAATTGGTACGTTTAGTCAGTTGTAGCTTGAGAACGACAATCACGTCTCCAAATGGGTTGATGAAGCTCTCACCGATGAGATACAACAGTTGGACTACCAAGTTCGAATGCTAGAAGAAGAAGTTCAACTTATCAAAGCAACAATAAGGAGTGAAGGTGACCTTAGTGAAGGTCCCAAAATAATGTCCAAGATAAAGATAACAGGAGGTTTTGTTGTTCTTACTTTCGTTTTAGTTCTAAGAATTATGATGTACAAGAAGTAATTCCTATTAGAATTCAATTCCTACAGCTATGACAAAGTTAAACTTTCTGTTTTTTTTTCTCTAAGTTTTTGGTAAGTTTCTCCTAAATTATGTGAAGTTGGATAACTATGTTGTTTGATCTATCGAAAAAGTTTCTATAATTTTTACGATGTTAGACAATTGAGAAAGTGAAAGTAACACAAAGTCTGACCTATTTATACAAAAACAAATTTCAACTTTGTCTAAATTTTACAAAGTTGGACAATTGATTAAGTGAAAACACAAATATTTAACAGTTTATACGAGCACAAACTTGTAGTTCATCTATTTTTTTAGAAGTTGGAAAATTGAAAAAGTTAAAACCACAAAATTTCACAAACATTTGACATAGTTTCACCAACGTTTAAACAAAGTTTCACCAAGTTTAAGACAAGTACGAAGATGGAGAACATTGAGAACAACAAGATTTACAAAAGACCTACAGCCATATATCTCTGAACATAAGGGTCACTGCGTAGTAGAGACTGCCTGAACTCCTCAACCTTCGGCAAACGCGGATTGAACCTGAAGTCAAGATAATCCACCCTTGGTCTCAAGCCATAGATCAAGAGGACCAAAATAACATGTATAAATGAGTTTATTAAATGTTTTACTCAGCTATCACATTTAAAACTAGACACATAAACTACACTTACTCATAAATTTCCAGACCCTCCACATTTTAAGGACCACAATCACCTGTCCACGACCTCTCATGTTTACAAGACCATCCTAGAAGGCATACGCATATTCGCCAGTTGCCACACATTTTATCCGACTGTCACTATTCAGAATAAAAAGGTGCGTCAATTACAGTATTGATAAATTTTGCTTTGATCATATGTTACTTTCTACTTACATGTTATCCCTTATGTAAAACACCATCCTTGGATTTGCAGGGTCATCGAAATGGGCTTCCTTGTTGAAGACCACTCCCATTGTATCTACCAGACAAGTGTTGTGTTTTTCTTAGTTTATCTTAGTTTCATAAATCTAAACATGTGAATATATTTAAATTTTAGTAGCATTCTTACCTATGGGATAGTTTCGGTCCCTTTGGTCCATGTGAGGGATTGCATGGATGTACTTGAATTCCACGAAAAGCTGATTGTTCAGGGATCGATGATATGGACTTGCGTATAGAGTGTAGCAGTTAGACTGAACCGAGAGTTAGTTGCCTGGAAACCTGGAAGGGAACGGTTAACTTTTACCCGAAAGATTTCCACCCATTTCCCTCATACTTCTCTAGGCCTCTAAACCTACCATAATCCCCATAAATGGTCATCTCCATCTTGGTTCCCTACATAAATAAAGTACAAGGATCAAGTTTTTATTTTTCACGGTTACATGTTATTAGAAACTTGAGAGAAGATGATTTAACACGTACGTCTTCATCTACTAGGACATAGGTATAGAAAAAGGTCCACTGCTGGTAAGATAGAAATAGAAAGGGTAGATCTTGTGTATTTTGACTCTGTAACGCCAAGCCGTGATCTTGGGGTTATAACAAACTTCAGAAAGCTTATTGTAGTGTGTCATCTTGTTTGTTGAGAGAGGAGATGATGAATCCTTTCTTTGCTTTTTTTTTGGGGTGAATTTTTGTAAAGAAATGTTAACTTACTGTGGCGGAGTTTAAATGCAATGGTGATGATGATTGGGGATTGTAGACGATGTAGTGTTGAGGGTGGCATTTAAATGCAAGTGTAATGGTTATTATAAGAGACTTTTTCATGAGATACGTCGTGTTCTTTTGAGGAGTCCATCAAATCACCCATAAATAGAGGAGCTACAAAATGGAAGTTGGGGTGATAAATCATTAATCATATACTTCTAGTTTATGTCATTAAATATATCCAATAAGTATAATAAGTTTTGGATACTGATCATTAAATATAATTACTAAAGTATATAAAGTTTTACGTAGTTTCAAATATTTATACCATCTAAACTGTTGCGTTTTTCTTAGTTTCATAAATTTAAACAATCTAATTCACTTAGTTTCACTTACTTATACATAGTTATAAATCTTAATAAATTAATAAATTAAAGTTATACAAAGTTCCAAATTCAAGCGACGCAACTGTTGCAGTCAGAAGACGTGTAAGAAAAGTCGTGATTTCTCGGGGAGTCAATCAAATGAATACTCTATCAAATCACCCTTCAATAGACACCACTGATTGAATCATTAATTACATGATTTTTCTTAAACTAAATATTACCATTTTCATTTATTATCTCCTTCACTGATTGAATCATTAATTACAAGATTTTTCTCAAACTAAATATTACCATTTTCATTTAAACAATCTAATTTTCTTAACGTTTTACATAGTTTCATTTATTTAGACAATCTAAACTGTTAAAATTGTGCTTAGTTTCATGAATTTAGACAATCTAAATCAATTATTTTCACTTACTTATACATAGTTATATATCTTTATCGATTAGAGTTTTTCAAAGTTTCAAATCCAACCCATGCTCATGTTGTTGCACTAAGAAGTCGTTTCTTCTGAACTCGTGTGTTCTCGAGTCATATATCAATCACCCTTAAGTGGGGTAATAAATACTCAGTTTATACTTATATCTTCACGTCTGTTGAAGTTTATACGTATCTCAGTTTATACTTATCTCTCTATTTACTCGATTAAACAAATATCTCTCCATGTCAAACTTTAACTTGGCTTCTCTCCCTCCTTCCATGATTCATAAGATTCTATCAAAGGTAGAAACAAGCCATATCCGGGACTTCGGTAGTGAAAGAGTTGATTTCTCCGGGTTCAATCAAATTGGCAGAGGAGAATACTTCTACCGATTTGCAGATCTCTTTAACTTGAATGGCTGGATTGATGAGGCTAATGCTGTTAGGACATTCAGACTTAGGTGCTATCAATCCGTTAATCTAGAGGCCATCTACATGCGAGGCATGTATGAGTTCTTTGTCCTCCATTTACTTGATGAAGGAAGGGAAAAATTCCATCTTGCTAGTGAGAGAGGATTTTTGTTGGCCAAGTATGTAGATGGAATGATGAACTTAGCGATTAGTGTTGATGATAGAGGATTGGTTCACAACTATCCTAGCTTTAGTCGAGATTTTTTTGATCGGATGAATTACATGATCACGACTTCGGTATTCTTAGGGCATTGGAATTACGAAAAACCTGAGGTGTTTATGTGTATACTGGAAAGAATAGATCTCAACGTCTTACATAATTGTTGGTGCTCCGCAGTAATAGAACCGGTGTTTGTAGTCTCCTTAGATGGATCTAGAACACGGTGGAGATGCAATCATTGTTTCTGGCAATGTGCAGCTTGAGACTTCTGCAATGATATTAACTTGATCGCTGCCCACTGGCCAATTGAAGATTAGTTGTGTGTTTATGAGTTATGGAATGTAATTTTTATCTACTTTTAATAAGTTTATGTAAAATATATTTTTTATAATATAATGTCTCTAGTTTGTCTCTATAATGTAATCTCTATTTATTTTAACTTCAATAAATATATCATTAACAACACTGTCTCCATAAAAGAACATAATGTAAAAGATACAATCAAAACTAGTCAAACTTTGCAAATCATAAACTGCGACTTATTTCAATTTTGAAACTTTGTAATTGATACAGTCTATATTAGTCGATGTTTTATACGCTGTCCAGTTACACCAAGGTTGACAATTACACCAAGTTGTACAAAGTTTTCGCAAGTTATGAAGAGAAAGATCTGAATTTTATGGATCGGATCTGCATGGTACGCGAAATGGTATTGGTTGGGTTGTAATTATGAAAATTTTTGTTGGTTTCATGGTCTTTTAATAATTCTCCCGATTTAATTAAAGATTTATCTATTTTCGATTTTTGGCAGCTTCGCGCAGGAGTATCACATAATTTTTTTTTCCGGGAAGGAGTATCTGAGCAATTGATTCTGAAGGGTTCTCTCCTACAACTATCTATATGTTTTTAGGAGATTACGTTGTCCGAAGGTAGCAGAGTTTTGAGACGATCTGTTTTCTACTTGCCTACAAACAAAATACTCGAAAACCTTTTCCTTCTAAGTTGAAACCACGAATGAGCTTCCATCAGGTATCAGCAGAATCTACCATGGCTTAAACTGTCGATTAAGTGTGAGACTCTGGAAAGTGTTTTCAGATTCTTTTAAATGCCAGTAGCTGCTGCAATAGAGACAAGATATTATGCATGCATAGTAGCCTTTCTCCTGATTTGACAACCGCAGATTACGACCATTAAGCGACCAACTGATGTTCCAGACTCTTGTCAGCGATCTACTTTGGTATGATCAAGCAAAGATGTCAAAGTATGTAGGATGAACCAACGTGGAATCTCTTGCACGTTTGGATCTGAAAAAAATTGCTGAGTTGCTTAATACAGAATGATATGGATCTCATCTGAACAAGTTAGTCTACGACACAATGTTCATGTTTCTTTTTCACTAGACAAGTTGTGGAATTTATAATATAAACCTTTTTTTTTCTTTGCTCACGCAGGTTGTAGAGGATGGTTATGACTTTTTCCTGATCGACAGCTTGCTATTAAATTCTCTGCTCCTAACTACTGTGATGACTTCGACAATGCTGGTGCAATGATAAGTGTTGATGAAAGTTAAAAATATACTCTTTCCAATTTTTTAAGCATGTGGATCGGATGCCCTGCTTCTTAAAAGAGGTACTTCAAGTACCTTCTGGATACGGCTTTTTAGATTTGCAGGTTGCGTTAGTCTTTCATTTAAAATAACATAGCAAATCTGTCATAACCTCATATACAAGCTGATGTACGTTAATTCTCAAATTGTGTAGATTATGACACCGGCTCTCACCATTTACGTACACACAATATTTTTAAGATTCGATTGATTAAAAAGGAAGCTGGATTTGTTTGTATGCTAAAAAAATTTAAATTTAATGTTCTGTACACGTACGAAAGGATTTTTTTTTTTTTTTGCAGTTTGAACCTCTTGGGGGAAAGAAGACGAAATTGGCAACATGAAGCCAGGTAAAAGACATTTGACGCTATTTGAGACTTTGCCCAGAGGCCTTGCAAGGTGGCTTAGAATGCATGTTAAAGCCTAAAGGTTATATCATATCTTCATGAACACTGGCCATTTCTTTTCTCAAAATTTAATGTGTTTATGATCTTCTCTGACTTATATTGGACAGTAAGAAGTCTACAAAGATTTATTCTTCCATAAAACCAAATTACTCAGGTATATACAACCTCTATTACTGTATCACACACATAGGAATCTTTGGTCATGACATAGAGTATGATAGACCCCAAAGGAATGATTCAGCAGAACTAGCTGTGAATGAATCTAAGTTTCCCTTGACGGACTGAACTTAAAGATCACTATTTTTACTTGCTTCTCACAAGAACCACCACAAATATTTTAACTATCGGTTTGTGGCCGCTGTATACAATGGTAATCTATAACAGGACATTATCTTTTGTTATTATTTCTCGTACTGTAATTTAGTCTCTGAGAAGTCATACCACTGTGCATCCTCTATTACAACCTCTGTCACTATCGTCATCATCATCTTCACTGTAGGCCACTGAGTTTTTAGCAATCTTGAGATTTTTCTTGACGTTGAATTAATAAATGGTGCAGTCATATGTATCTTCTCTCATTTGTTCATAAACTCCTACAATAGAAAAAATTAATAAAATGATGATTTATTTTGCCCATTGACCTAAGATATTTATAGAAAGAAAACATATGTCTTGATATGTTGAAGATAAGTATGTGCAAGTTTGCTAAGGTCAAAGACAAGGTTTTTCTTAAATAGAGGATCTCATGGTTTCAATGATTCTGTTGGTAAGCTAACAACTTAAAAGAGACAGAAAATTAATCAAAGGATTTCAAGATCAAAATAAAGAATCATACTTGGCACCAATCATCATTTAGGATGTAATTTAAAATATATCTTGAGCTTCGAAAGAAATTGTAAAATTATAGCTGATAATCAATCCACCTGAAAGAGCACTAAAACTCAGATTGGCATGAGACTAACACATGTATTAAAAATAACAAGAAAAATGATATCAAAATTTACTGAATTTAGACAAAACATATGTAATAGATTCAGCCGATCTGCCTAAACAAACCCAAAAGTTCAAACAAGTGTACAAATGTTGTAAGTTTTTAAATTTTCTATATCAAGAATACCAAACATATTCAAACGTTGAAAAATGACTGTATATTTATTAACACCTTTCCTTTTAAAATGAAAAAAATCAGACCAGGCGAAATTCAAAAATCATAAATAATACAATGTCTTACCAACAAATAGTTGTTCGAAACGATTCTAAAATTTCACCTAAAATAAACGTGTTCGCCACTTTTCAAATACAAATGAGCGATTCATACATAAGTTAAGACCATCATATAAGAACTTCTAAAGTAAACATCAAAACTAATCACTATTTCAAGACCACAAAATCCGAGTCGAGTACTCACTTCTAATATCAATAATATCAACATAAAACACATACAACCATTCTATTACAAAATTAACACATACATTCTGCGTTTAGCACGGACAAACCACTAGTAGTCAATATAATCAACTCATTCAACTAATAGTTAAAGATAATTTGGTGAAGAAATCTAAGAGACAAATATTACACATAAATTATTTTTACTACTAATTTAAAATACTAAAACATACAATTAAACTCGTAAATAAATATGATTGATAAGGATATAACAGAAATTATTACTTTCTTAAACTTCGTGAAACTGTCTTGAAAAGGATATAACAGAAATTATTACTTTCTTAAACTTCGTGAAACTGTCTTGAACGGCAAGTAATCCAAAACGGGGAGAGTACTGAACTATTACGAACTTAATAATCTTCAAAGACCTTATCTTGTAAATTTTTATTCTTGAGTTTGTACAGTTTCTTCTTTTCCATCAAATCATATCTATCCTACAACATTCAAATTTCTGGTTCCAACCGCTAAGAAATGAAAAACATTTTTATAAAATGTTCAAAAACTTAAAATGTTTTATAAACTGAAAATATTTTAAGAAAAAGTTAGTTAAAATGTTTTGATAATTTTTTTAAAAGAAATTTTTTAATTGAAATTTTTTTTCTGTAAATTGTAAAACGTTTTTATTAAATCTATAACAAATAAATTTTTTTTTTATAGATTGAAAACGTTTTATAAGTAAAAATACCTTTTATAAATTTTTAAAAATGTAAAAACGTTTTATAAATTACAACAAGCGTAGAAACTTTTATAGAAACTTAAAAAACATTTAATAAAAGATTTAAACATCTTATAAAATCATAAAAAATATTTTAAAACAACAAAAAATTAGAAAACATTAAAAACATAAAACAAGTTTTCAAATCTTAAATCTACCATATAAAATCTTTAAAAAACAACTCTAACACTTAATAATATGGTTGAAAACAAAATACAATTCTAACACAAATCTAACATATTAAATCCTAAATTAACCAACCTAACTCATTTCTAACTATCCAATCCCTTAATACATCAATTCTAACATAACACATATACAAACTAACATATATGACTATTGAGAGGATAATAAATGACTAACATCTCTAAGGGGAGTTTTGAAAAAGATTCATGGCTGTTCTTCGGCTGGTATTCGGATGAGAGAGATAAAGAATAAAGAGAGCTTAGAAAAAGAAAGAGTTGAAATGAAGATGATATTTTTTTCTGTTTTGTGTTCAAAAGTTTTGACAGATTAAGTTCGTCGTAAACCCGCCACTTTTTTTTTTTAATTTTGGTAATTCCCGAAAGATTAAGTGGTTTTTTCGGGGAAATTTCAATATCTGACGAAATTTTGATAAATATACCATTTGGTTTGAAATTCGTTGAAATTTACAATTTTCGTCAAAAAATTGTCGGAATATGCCCTATTTGTCGGAAATATATTTGTCTGAGATTCGTATGATTTTTTTTGATAAATTTCAACGAATTATGTATTGGGTTTTCTAAACATAGCAAAATAAATCGATAATAGTCATCTTCAAAATGTTTGAAAAAACAAAAATTCAAGATTGTTAGATGAATCACCGTAAAGTATTTGCTTAAGTGTATAAGTGTTAATGAGAAATTTTATGTATCCGTCGATGCATCCATCGCAAGAATGTATAGCTTTAAATAATTAAGATATGGTTAACCCACATCATATTTATCTCTTAATATATGTTATGGTGTTCTTTTAAATATCTGATTTAAAATTATTTTTGAATATATCTTATCTAAAACCAAAATTTGTCGGAAATTTCCGACGAACTTCCTATGAAAATTTACAATT